TTACAAGGAAACTTGTCTTGGCCAGCAGAGAGTAAACTCTTAACATTGAACTAACTGAGAAATAGCCACTCTTCTCCCATTTCCAAAGCCACTCATCCTCCTGTCCCACCCTAATAACCCAATTGTTTGAAACTTGGAGCAGCTCCAGGACACTATCAATTCCGAATACTGAGGGTTTGTTCAAAATCTGGGGTTCCAACCCACGATTCCATTCTGTCATGGATAAGACTGTTATGAGTAATTCCTCTTGGACTAAGAGAAAAGACCAAATTAAGAAGCAATAAGTGGGTGGAGTTATTGTAAAGAGACTGGGCCGAATGGGACCTAGTATCTTTTCTTGTAGTATGTTTTTATTTATTTGTTAGTTAATGGGCCTGTTATTTCCTTTTGCTAGTTCTCCTTATGTTATTGCCTAGCTGGCCGCCCATTCAAGAGTATACTTGTAACTATGTTAATATTGATGTTTAGTAAAAGGATTAGAGAAGGGAGGGAAGAGACATTTGAACTCTTCTTCTTCCTCCTCTTTTCTCCATCTTCTTTCTCTTGTACTGCTATTCTCTTCTATTCTTCCTTTTTTTCTCATTATTTTTTTTCAAGTTTACATCAGTTTTAGAGGACTGATTCACATCTTGGTATTAGAGCAGGTTTCTTTYTTCMTTCTTTTCTTCTTTCTCTTTTCCCATACACCCTTCGATTAAGAGAGTGTATGGAGAGATAGATTCTCTTTACTTCAGAGGATCTTTTACCTAGTTGGTAGAGGGTTTAGAGAGTTTAAATCTGGCCAGATATTGCCAAGAAGTGGTGATGTACTGTTTCGGCCCAAAACCCTAGCCGATTAGAGATTTCTGAAGTTACAGGTAAAAGTGAAGCGTTGGGTGTGGCGCGCTGTGCTTGGGAGGTGTCTTTTGACATCTAAAAGAGGGCGGTTCAGGTTTGGAAAAGATTGGGAAGCTCTGGTAGGAGCGGCTGCATCTTCTCTCTTTCTCCCCAACAGCTGGACACAGTGAAACCCTAGTTTTTAAGCATTTGGGTATTGGTTTGACTTCAAGTAAGTTTATAAAGACCAGATTTCTGGTTTTCTGATTTTCGTTTGATTAATTGAGCAATACGGAAGTGAGTTCAAGCAGGTTTCGGGTTTCGGGCTTGGCTCGGTAGATTCTGTTTTGACTGGTGTTACCACAATTAAGCTAGATTGGACAAATTATCTTGCTTGGGCACAGTCTATAAAGATTTATGTCTGTAGTAGAGGAAAATTAGGGTACCTCACAAGCAGTAAAGTGAAACCCGAAGAGACAGACCCTGAATTTGAGAAATGGATGCAGGAGAACTATACTGTCATAAGATGGTTGGTCAAACTCTATGCAGCCTCATATAAGTCAACACTATCACTGGATGTACTCGGCCAAGGAGATCTGGGACAATGTTATTGAAACTTATTCACAGAAGTTGAATGTGGCTAGAGTGTACAAATTGAAAAGTGATGTGATCATGTGAAGAACCTAAGACAAGGGGAGAAGAGTGTGACAATCTACTATTCTACGCTGAAATCCTTATGGTAGGAAATTGATATTATGGAGAAGTTATATGGGAGAGTATGAATGATGCAAAAATATTTAGGAAGCTGGTGGAAAGAATCAAGGTTTTGAATTTCTTACTGGACCCAACCCTAAGTTTGACATCATTAGGCAGAATATTCTGACCAAAGATGAGGTTACTCTTGCCCAGGCATATGCTATGGTGAGTAGGAGTAGGCGGTAGGTTCAGTTATAGAGTCCACCTATGGAACACATTGCACATGTTGGAATAAAGTCGAAGGGTCCAAGTGAGAAGAAGGAGCAGGTATGTGAATATTGCAGGAAATCGAGGCATACGAAGGACACTTGTTGGAAGCTTCATCCTGATCTTCTTCCTGACCGGTTTAAGAACAACAACAATTTTAAGAAGGGCAATCAGATAGGAAAGCCTAAGACAACTAATGTTGCCACAGTAATAGAAGGAAGAAGTAAGGAGAGTGAAGAGGAGTCAATCATTGAACAGTTAGCATCAATGAAGGCAGAATTTGAAAAGTATGGAAGGCTGTTAAATCACTTGGAGGCTACTGTTTCTACATCTCACTCTTCAGGCAACACATCATCATCAATAGCATTTGCTCACTCAAGTATTTGTGCTTTTGCAAACCATGCTTTAGTTTCAGGTAATTATAAAATCCCTTGGATCATTGATTCTGGTGCATCAAACCATATAACCAGCTTGTCTAACCTTTTCTGTTCATACTACCTTCTCTCTGGTAAAGAGAAAATATCCCTTGCTGATGGGTCATTTGCTCCCATTTCTGGCAAAGGGGATTTAAAGACCTCTGACACCCTTTATTTATCCTCTGTCCTTCATGTCCCTAAACTTAATACAAATCYTTTATCTATTAGTAGCTTAACTAAATCCATGAATTATAGCATAACCTTCTTTCCCAGTCATTGTGTTTTTCAGGACCTATAGTCTCGAAAGGATGATTGGGAGTGGCCATGAGGCGAACGGAATATACTTGCTAGACACACCTGATAGAGCTCTTGGACCACCTCATGGAGTTGCCTTGGAGTCAATCTTGTTAGAGTTTGTTGACAAAGTCATGTTATGTCACTTTCGATTTCGTCATTTTTCTTTTTTTGCTTTGAGTCATTTATCTCCAGATATGTTTAAGGGAGTGTCTTTATCAAGTCTTCATTGTGAGTCGTGTGAACTGGCAAAGCATTGTAGACAATCTTATTAGTAAGCAATAAAAGATTTATTTCTCCTTTTTCATATTGTTCACTCTGATTTGTGGAGGCCATATCATTTGCCTACTATGGGGGGTTACAAGTACTTTATCCTTTTTATTGATGATTACTCTCGTTACACTTGGATTTATCTCATGAAATCCAAGGATGAAGTACCAACTATTGTGCAAAAATTTCATGAAATCATTCTTACCAGTTTAACACCCGGATCAAAGTATTATGTTCTAATAATGATAGAGTATTTTGAGAAAACCCTCTTAGCCTATCTTGAAACTTTTGGGGCTATTCATCAAAGTTCTTGTTCCTACACTCTGCAACAGAATGGAGTGAAGGAAAGGAAGAATCGGCATGTGGTTGAAGTTGCTAGATCCCTCCTTTTTGCATCCTATGTTCCTA